CTGAAGCAGCAGCATCCCTTGGAGCCAGCTTTCCCTGAGCTGGGGGAAGGGGCTCTCCTTCCTCTTCTCTGGTCAGCAGGCCTCTGCTCAGAAAGCTTCTCCCTAAGTATCTTTGTCTTCCCTTGAATTTCCTGGCTTCATCTTCAAGGGCCTGATCTCCCATCACCAGTGCCAGCACCTTCCACTGAGGAAGGAGCGCTGCAGCGGTGGGGTGACCTCCCCCACGGGACAACCCTCCCAACCCCTGGCTAGAGGCTGGCTCATGCCCGGTGGCAGGAGGGCTCAGCTCCCTGCTGGAGCTCTGGGGCTGTTCCTGTACTATTTCTTGCAAGGCCGGGCACTTTCATACTCTATGGATGCCCCAGTCCTTCCTCTGGACCCTGGCCAGCTCTTGGCCCCAGTGACTGCCAGCAAGGCCTTAGGCAAGGGAGCACCTTCCACAGCGCCTGGGGCTTTGTTACTATTGCGTTTCCCCAAAGGCCCTGCTCATGCGGCAGGAGAGGACCAGCCTGCTCTGCATCCCGCCATGCTGTGCCTGGGACTGGTCCTCTCCTGCTCAGTCACTATGGTATGAAGGCCCAGTCTCTCTCTCCTGCACACGCTCTCCCGCATCCTTGACCTGTCCTTGCATCTGGTGCAGCTTCATCAGCTGGTCACAGGCAGTGGTGCGCTGCTGCCAGTTGGACCCCGGATCACCCTCCTGCCCATGCCTCAGAGCCATTTACAGTGCATGTGGTGGGGGTTGCAGCGATACAAAATATTTACGCCCTCTCTGTGCCCAGCTGTGCAACCAGCTCTCTCTGCTCCCAGAAGCCAGCACAAATGTCAGCGCTGGCTGGTAACGCCCCTCCCTGCGCCCTGTCCCCCCACGGGCATGTCCAGATTTCAGTGAGAAACGGTAGTTTGATCCAGAAATGTGGCTGCAGTGCATGGTGGGAGGTGAAGCTCAATGACCATGCTTCCCATCTGCTCCTCCCAGGGTGCATCATGGCCTCGCCTCTCGGCAAGGAGATCCAGTCATGGGAGATGGAGCGATTCCCTCTTGGGAGCTCAGCCCGGGGGAATGGGAACAGGGAAGCAACTGAACAGCAGCTCCCATGAGGCCATGCAGCAGTGTAACCACACCAACACACTTCACTTATCAACTTTTTTAAACAAAAAAAATGGAAATTCCCTGTTGATCCTGGCTACTTCTCACCAACCCCCCAGTTCTCCGCCAGCCATTTGGATGGAGAATTTTAGCCCATCCCCATACTGCTGTCCAAGGTCTCTCAGGCGTGTTGCTAGCCCGGGCACCTCCTACCTTGATGAAGGCATAGCCTGCCCCATTGTCCGTGATGGTCAGCCCCAGAGCATCCTCCGTCTTCATCACCTCCACTTCCTTGGTCTCGCCCCGGACGTGTGCGAAGATGAAGTCCTCCAGGCCGATCTGCCCCCCCAGCAGCTTCTGCATGTCCACTTTGTGGGTGTTGAGTGTGCAAAACAGGATCTGCGGAGAGCAGCTCATTACTGCCTGGTACACCATGGCCGGGCCTTCCCATGCAGGGGCTGAGGGCACACCCAAAGTGCACAGCGGCCTGGAGCAACCCCAGGCACCCCCTATGCGTGCACTGCTCCCAGCTGGCCCAGCTATGGCAACAAAGAACAGAGATCAACTGGGGACCCTGTTTTCGCATGAGGCTTTGCTAGGGAACAGGGGTTTCCTGGGCAAATATCAGCCTCATTCGCTCACTGACAAGGGGCGCGTTTCAAGCAGGCACGATCCCCCTTTTAAGCCCTCTGCATTATCAGCAGAAGTGCAGGGTTTGCCTCACACAGCTGGAAAGATGTGGTGACTTTCCAAGGTGGAGAAATGGGGATCGCACTTGTTAGGTGGTAGCATGGCAAGGGGCCTTCAACTCACACAGCTGGGACAAAACCAGGTTCATCCCCTGCTCTCCTACAGGCAACCTACTTGGCAATGCCCCAGCGTCTTTGTGCCTCAGTTTCCCCACCCACAAAGTGGGGCTAATTAACCTTGCTCATCTGGCTGCTTAGCTGGGAGGCAGCTTCACACTACATCTGTGCCCACCATGGGGCCTGCAAGCAGCATCTTCAAGAAGAGCCAGGGTTGATCTCCGAGATCTGATAGCTGTTGTAGCCGAGAAGACAGAGCTCCACACAAGATCCTCAGCCTCATCCTGGCAAGACCGGAGGGGAAGAGCCAGGCATGGGGTAGGCCCCGCACAGGGGGGCATGCACAGCACTGCAAATCCCCATCCCACACAAAGCGCCAGGCCTGCTCTGCACAGCAGCAACACAACGTGGAGGCACTGCAGCAGCTGCAGCTCTGCCCTATGCGATGGCTGCCAGGAAAGTCACAGCTGCCCCAAACTGGATTGTCACTGGGCTGTACCAGAGAAGAAACCCGGTAAGCCTCACAGGTCCACTTCGCCAGCCAGGGCCCTGCTTTGACTGATTTGCCCCTCACTTGTGCCATTCCCTGATGTGCCCACAGCCCTTAACCAACATGGGGCCACAAACATCGCTACCAGTTAATGCTGGACTGCCTGGGGCAGACTCAGCTTAGGGTGCTGGCTCAGAAGCACCTAATCCAGTGCTTTCTTAACCACGCTGCTTGCTGCACAGCAGGTCCTGGGTTTAGATCTTTCCCAGGGTGAGGTAGGGGGGCAAGGAAGTTAAGGAAACTGAGGCACAGAGGGGGAAGTAACAGCCCAGGGGTCCCAAGGTGAGTGGCAGCAAGGTGGGCTGCCCGTGGCGGTCCACACTGCTCGCCAGGTAGGGGCAAGCTGCACCCGAGGCCGGGCTCAGGCCCAGGAGGTTGTGATGCTGTGAGGCATGGCATCACGGAGGCAAGCCCACCACTCTTGAGCAAAGAGCTTGGCATTAACCGTCTGGTAACCAGAGCTGGCAAGCTGGAATATGCCAGGGCTCTGAAAGAAGCAGGAAATGTCCCTCCTCCTCCTCTCCCAAATTGGATCGACACAGTAAGGATGGCAGAGGAGAGCCCTAGCGCTGGCACAGCCGGCTCAGGCTTCTTGGCCAGGCTGCCTGCCCCACTCCTCCATGCGGGCCGCGCTTCCCTCACCTCAGTTGGAGAGATGCTGAAGACCTCGGCGATTTTGGCATACAGCTCCTTCACATTGGTGAAGCCCTCAATCTTCCCCGTGGGGCTGCCATGGGCCAGCTGCGTGTGGAATACCAGCCTGGGCCGCACCCGTGGGGGTGGCTGCGAGCCGTGAGAGTGGGCAGTGGGGCCACTGTCCTCCTTTCTCCCCACCTCAGGTGAGGCCTCTGCAGCCCCCAGCTCCTGAGCCACTCCGTTCTCCATGGACTTCTCCTCCTCGCCGGCCTTTTTGTTTTGTCTGCCTGACCGGTGCATCTTCCTGCCACCCAGCTTTCGGGGGCACAATGGCAGTTCTCCCTACTGAATTATAGATGCCCACTAGCTCCCAGCCCGGCAGTAAGGCGATCCCAGGCCCACGGAACCTGATCCCCTGGGCACAGGTAATTCAATTAGTGTCAGATGAGCTCTCTTCCATGCAGGCAGGTGTGGCTCTACTGAGCTGCAGGGACAGGGCAGGAACCGTGCCAGGGGAGCTACAAACACCTGCAAGCAGCAGCTGTGCTCACAGGTAAGGAGTGTGTTTGTTCACACTGGGTGTTAGCTCCCATCAAACATCCCACATGCATTGCCTATAAAAGCAGCCCCTTCTTGCACGGTGTGGCAATACCCCCAGTGAAAGCTTTGTAACTTGGTTTTGCCACAAGAGCTCTGTGACAGTGGCCAAGGGGAGAGGACATGAGAGCTTTGTAAGCCAGACAGCCCAAACCTGTCCAAGCTCAGTTTCACCCCAGGCCGCTCCCCACAGTGCTGCTTTGCCTGACAGCTAGTACATGGGTTTGCACTTCTGAATGTGCAAAGCTGCACCTGAAACAGTCCGGGACCTGGGGACACCGCTCTACGCAAGCACAGAAACCAATATCCAAAGCCCTGTGCAAAAGCCTGACTGACACCAAGAAACTGAGCCACAAGTCTCGCCTCTTGCGGGACAGTTTAATGACATCACAAACATTTTGTGCCGCTCTGCTCAGCACATCCGCTCTGTGCCATGCCTGCAGGTCGGAGTCCGGCCTTCACTCCCACAAGCAAATGCTGTGAGGCTTGCTGGAAACAGCAGCAGTGCGACTCCTGGCTGCTTTTGGCTCGCCAGTGCGCCAGCCAACCTGCAGCGATGCCCCGGCACGATACCCAGTGCTGGGACTGAAGTCAGGACAAACCCAGGGTTGCCTTCAGATTCCAGGGCAATTTGGGAAGAAAATAAATGGGATCTTTTTTCTCATTTTAGGGGTGGCCACAATTGGCACAGATAGCCTCTGTGGGTGGCACATGGCAGATGAGGGAGGGAGCACCAGGCACATCAGCAGATAGGGCAGGGAGTAGAAAGCAAAGCAGCAAATTGGGCAGAGAGTGCAGGGAAAGCAGCACAAAGCAGAGCAGATCAGACAGGGAGCACAGACTAAGAGGCAGAAGGCAGTGCAGTAGATAAGACAGGGAGTACAGGGCAGAGGCAGAGAGCAGAGCAGATCAGGCAAGGGAAGGGGATTGGAGTGACACTTGGGGAGGGCACAGGGCTAATTTGCAGCATGCCTACCAAAAATGTTGCGCCCCCCCCATTGTACTCAGTTGATCTGGAATCACAGAAACAATGAATTTCCAGCCACAGGCAGCCTTTCTAATGTACTACTCCAGCTGGAAGCTATGCAGAGCCCCTCCTTGCAGGAAAGGTGCAGGCTTGAATCCCCCACTAGCCTTTCCCCTTGCAACCTGGGACCCAATCCTGACTATCCTACCAGTGCTTCTACAGGGTAAAACTGCTCCACAAGAGAAATTCTGGCCTCATGAAAGGCAGTGAGTTTTGTTGTTGGCTTCATACCAGGCAAAAGAAACCCATGGCAATGCTCTCACTGAGTTCAGGGTTGCTAGGGCACTGCCTTTTTGAGGACTTGCCAGGTGCTTTGAAGTTCTCTGTGGATCTTTGTCTTCACACAGCTCCTGAGATCAAGGGCCCTTGGCTCCCAACTGCTCCAAAAGAACCAACTTATGTTTCCAAGAAAAGTATTTTGGTTTCCATGTGGCTGAGCAGGGGCAGCAGCAGGGAGTTGTGTGCCTCACTATGCCCACGGCTACTCAGGAAGTCTGAGACAATGTCAGGCCAGGGCCCAGATCTGCTGATCCTCATCCTGGCCTTTAGTCACCAAATCATAACCAGAATATTCATCTTCAAAGCACTTGCAAACATGGCATATGCTAGTCTTGGAAAATGTGGGCCAGGCTGGTTAGGGAAAAAGTCTAGGGCAAGGCAAAACCCAGGGAATAGGACTGTGTGGGCTAGAGCTGGGAAGACACAGGCACATGGCTGAGGAAGTCTCTCCTCCATGTCCTCAGATCTCTGGTCCTGGCCCCTTACCCAGCTCCCTCCACATCTGAATACCAACCAGAACAGCCCCCCTTTATTACTGGGATGCTCCAACATGCCAGATTCTCCCAGGGCAAGTAGTCTCAATGGTGTCAGCAAAGTCTTCCTGAGAACACCCAGGGGTTCCTGTGCACCAATATACAGAGATATCCCTCGGTGACAAAGCAAGAGGAACCTCTCACTAGGAATATCCCCATACTCAGCCCAGGTCCCACCAGCCTTTGGACACTGATCACCCCCTTCCATACAACCGGACTCACCAACTTCTACCATTGTCTATGATCCCCACCAACACCCCCCCCCTGCACCCACAAACACAACACCACAGACTGGTTATTCACCCCAGTTTTTATTTCTTTAACCAGTCTCCAGGAGCATTCCCAGGCAGGGTGGGCAGCAGTTGGTCCACCTGAGAACAGGCTAAGTGCTGAGGCCATGGAGATGCTTACAGAAAGAGGCTAATTCTTGCTGTCACACTAAACTCTAGAGTATTGACCTCAAGGGAGAGGCTGTTCCTTGGAGTGGATATACACTGATTCCTAATATAGAACCTGGTTATGTGGTGCTAGTAAGAAAATAAGATGCTCTATAATGACATGATTAAGTTTAGTGGCTGAAGTCAGCTGTTAGGAGGCACCTGGGTGAGACAGGCAGGCCCCCTCTTCACGATCCTCGGGGAAGGAGGGCAATGGTTGCTGCAGGAACCAGGGCAGCTCCTGACACAAAGAAACCCTAAGTAGGGACCTCAGAGCACTGCTCAGTTCAGGGTTAAAGATGCTCCCAACTACCCTCACCACAGAGCAGGGCAAAGCAAGGTGCGGGTTTGGTCCCCATTACTGGACTCCCTCAGCCCCCTACTGACCACAACAAACCTGCCCGCAGCACTTGTGTGAGGGTTTGAAGCTGGAGGAACCAGAGGCACAGAGTTTCTGCTACACTGTCCTAGTGGGGTGCACTGGGGTGACTCATGCCTGTGGATGATCTGAGAGCTGAACCCAGATCTACTGGGTCCTGGTTTGCAGCCTTGACCCCCATCTGCCCTGCCTTCCATGACTGTCCAGCTGTCTGCAAACCGGAATGAACAGCTGCCTGTTACCCAGGGCTGTGATGGAGGCAACTGAGTGGTGGTGGGGGGATGACATTTCTAAGCCATAGCATACAAGGTGGTATGCACACCCAGAAGAACAGATCCTACCACTCTCACTCACTACAAGTGCCTCCAACAGTCCTGGGAAACTGTGACACCCTGAGGCAGGTATGCAGCCAGCAAGGCACTACCCCCCGGCCAGTGCAACCCCTGGTTTGTCAGTTTGGCCCTGTTCAGCTTAGCCCCTCTTCCCACAAAATGCATCAAAACTTGTGGTCCCATTACAGGTTTGAAGGGTGGAAAGGGCAGAAGGGTCAGCTCGAATCGCACCAAATTGGTCATCAAAGGAAATGGCCTGGGGCTCTGTGCCACATGATCCATGGCCAGGCGACAGTCTTGGTTATCTCATGTGGACAGGAGCGGTCACAGAAGGCAGGGAACCTCACTAGAGCATTCCTCCTAGCTAGTGACCATACCATCCCCTGCCAGCAGGGTCACAACCACCAGCTATGCCCTGCTAGGGCAATGCTGCAGCCACCCTGCACTGGGAGCAAGCCAGCGTCAGGTGATGGAGTGGAGGACAGGCCCTGCAAGCAGCATCCCTCATCCAGTCATGGCAGGCTGCCTACAGCCCTAAACCCACAGAGATGCCCAGCCCTCAGGTCTCAGCTGTACTGAAACAACAGGAACTACTCAGCCCAGTTGAACTATTCCTCCAGCAAACATGTGTGCCAGGCAGAGGCGTGCAGCAGTGCGGTGGCTAGGGGAGAACCAGCTCTCTGCGGCAGCCGAACATGAAGGCAGGGGGAGGAGGTGTCGAGGGTTCCCGTCAGTCAGTGCTTTGCTGCAGCAGGAGGGTCCTCTTCACAAGTGTTCACTGAAACAAGGAGTGAAGCAGGTAGATTCACTTTTCAGTTCTGCAGGGAAGGAGCTGCTGGGCGAGAGCAGCCCCAAAGAACAATCCATCCTGGAACCAGCAGTGCCCCCCCTGCACTGCTACATGCCTGCCTTGGGTCTGTGCTGGGAGATCCCAGCCTCTCTGGACATTGGGCTTTTGTCTTCCTCCCTGTCCAGCCACCAACAAGAGGTGATGCTTAATTCCAAAGTATGTTCTGTGATGCAGATGCCTGCTGCTCCACTGGGAACAGACTGAGGTCAGCAACTCCTTCTACATTGGCAAGTGCCCAGTGTTAACCTGACAGGGCAGGCTGGGCCACCCCCAATACAGCCCAGCAGGACAGTGCATCTCGGGAAGAGCTGCACAGAAGGTTGCTCCTTCCCTCTCTTGCTGACACTGGCCTACTCCCTAACTATTCCAAGCTTGGTCCAAGATCAAGGTGTTCATCAGGAGCACACCGCTGCCTGACACTGGTGGTAGTGCAGGCAAACACTACAGCTCCCCGCCCAGCGCTGCAGACATACCTCCCCACTCTAGGAAGCCCTGCTTACCTGGCTATCCGGGACAGGATCTCTTTGATACGCACGACCAGCTTCTCGTGCTGCAGAGGGTTGCTCTCGATGGCGCTGTGCAGTTTGGCCATGTAGAAATCCAGGGTGCCCAGCGTGGGGGTCTCACCGGTGCCTGAAATAGATGCCCATGAGCTGAGGGCAGGGGCCACACATTGCATCATACCCAGCCCCAGCCTTTTGCTGGGACCAACATCTGTACTGGGAGAGCTGCCAATCAGCCCCACACCTCCACATGCCTGGAGCCCAGACAAACCCAGTGCTGCAATGGCTAGATAGCTTCTGCTGGTGGGAAGGACCCCTTTGAATCTGCCCCCTCACACACAGACCCTCCCAGGGCACTGCTCTCATGGGTAGCAGGCAACGGGGGCAGGGCAGTCCAAGCACGGGGTGCAAACACTTCCAGTCCCCCATGAATGTGGTTCAGTCAGCTGGATCAGCTCAGCCCTTCATCTAAGCCAGTATGCAGGCACAGGCCTGCAGAGACCCTGCTGCCAAGGCCTGGTCTGCTCTGTCCAAACGAGAGGCAGCAGGGCACTTTCCTCAATAGCAGGGGCTAGCACTGCCCTCGCCTGCACACTGTGTGCTGAGCCTGTCTGGCACCCAGGATCTGCCCCAGAGGGGCCTGCTCTGTAGTGGGGGCAAAGGCAAAGAGTCTATGCAGTGCCTGGTGATCCTTTCAGGCAGCACTTCCCAGAGTGGCAGTGTGCTCCCATTCCTAGCAGGGACATGTGTGAATCACAGCCACTGGCAAGGGAATCTGGGCTCTGATTTTTGTGACTGCCAGGAACCAGTGTCTGAAGCAAGGGGGGGCACGACGGTGGCCAACCTTGCTATGGTGGGGTATAAACCCACAAAGCTTGGGAAATGTCACTTTAAGGCCAGGGGGGAAGGGAAGGTGGTTGGGTAGAAGTTCTGTGAATCCCTGCAGGGTAAAGGTCCCCAGTTCTAGGGAGCCAGCAAGCGTCAGGTCCTCTTATGGGAATGCAGCCAAGAGCACATCCCTGTAGGTCACAGAGAGGGTCCTTCCAGGCAGCATCCCAGGCTCCCTTCTCTGCCTCCCAGCTCACCTGGGATGGGCAGGGAGGCAAAGCTGGTGGTCAGGGCCTGCCGGACAGACTGGAGTTGCTGCTGCAGAGCCAGCGTCTGCCTCTCCTCCAGTGCCAGCTCCTGCTCCAGCTTCTCCTTGGCACAGCTCATGCTCTCTGTGTGCTTCTGCAGGATAGCATTCTGTTCTTCGAACTCCGTATTCATCTTCCGCAGGCGCCGCAGTTCTGCCTCCCGTGCTGCCCCACAGAGATCAGTAGAGGGGTTAGTACAGAGAACAGGGGCATCCCCCAACAGGCTCACAGAGACTCAGGGCCAAACCCTCTCTGCTGGGGACTGAGCGGGGCTCCAGCAATGGCATCGGCCTCAACCTCAGTTCTCTGGATACAGCACGGCCTGGAGCCCTCAGCTAGGATCAGAGCCCTTGTGTGCTAGGTGCTATAAGGGTTCTCTGCCTTTCCCTTCCTTTGTCAGTGCCGATGGAACTGAAGCCAGGGAAGCCGGCTCATGCAGGATGCTAGGATCAGTGACTGTACACTTTCGCAGCACCCTGCTGTAGCACTGACAGGATCAGCAGACACAGGCCACATCATTTGTACTGCAACTCCCACTGAGCTTGCCTCTGTGCATTATGGGTTTCCTTCACCTGCTAGGGTAGGATCAGGCACTGCCTGGCAGTCAAGCCAGTGGCGCTATCAACTATGGTGAGCCTCAGGGGTCTGATTACAACAGGGAAAGCTGACCATCCTCTTCTGACCAAGTTGGACGTGTGGCTCAAAGTAATGGAACGCTGGGCTACAGCATGTGGCATTGCTCCCTCCACAGCCGACCCCCTAGGGCCCGAGTGAGCCAGCGGCTGCGTACATGGAGAATGGCAGACTGTCCCAGCCCCAAAGGGTGAGGCCCCTTTCTCCTGCTTCAGTACCTTTGTTCTGGTCCAAGAACTCCTCTGTGAAGATCGGCACATCAAATGTGGAAAAGCCATCGCTGCCGCATTCCCCCACCTGTCCAGGAGATTGGGTGAGTGTCCAGCAACCAGGAAGGGTCAGATGGGGACAGCTGCTGGGTGGGAGGGCTCCAGCCTGAGCTTCTCTTTGCACAGGGGAGTCCCCAACATGCTGGGACATGCTGATCCTCCACTTCCCTAGCTGGAAAGGGTGCCGCAGACTTGACACCCCATAAGACAAAAGCTTGAGGGCAGTTAGAAGGGCTCGGGTGAGAGCATCCAGATGGAGCCAACAGCACCACGAGTGGAGGAGGCAAGGCAAGGACGACATGGTCTGTGCTCCAGCACAGGCTGACCAGAACCAATCAGATAGGGTGGCAGCTTAGTCTGTGCAGGGGGTGTCTTGGGGAGACCTGTCCCCTGGGAAGAGCTGGGGCCTCCCCAAACCAATGGCCAAGTCACCTTCCTCTGCAGGGCCCAGTGCTCCACCTCACATACTCTACTGAGTGTCCTCTATGCCTCCAGCCCC